ACTTGTTTTCCTCATGCTCATCAATACTGGGTATTATGAAGTTAAAAATATTCCCTAATCTGGGGCACCTGGGTGGCTCAGTGGGTTAAAGCTTCTGCTTTCTGCTCAGGTCATGATCCCGGGGTCCTGAGATCGAGTCCCACATCGGGTTCTCTGCTCAGCGGGGAGCCTGCTTCCTCCTCTCTCTCTGCCTGCTTCTCTGCCTACTTGTGATCTCTGTCTGTCAAATAAATAAGTAAAATCTTAAAAAAAAAAATTCCCTAATCTGAGAGATGATTTTAATTTCTACTTACTTTATTATGACTGAATCATGTTTATTGAACACATTTCTCTGTGAATTTTTTGTTCATATATTTCTTTCCATCTTTCTGAATTTTTTTTCTTACAAATCCATAAGAGCTAATTGTATTAAGGAAGTTAGTATTTTAGGGGTGCCTGGGTGGTTCAGTTGGTTATCTGCCTATGGCTCAGATCATGGTCCCGGAGTCCCAGGCTCCCTGCTCAGCAGAGAGTCTGCTTCTCCTTCTGCCCCTCGCCCTGCTCTCCGGCTCTCTCTCACTGTTTCACTCTGTCTCGAATAAATCTTTTTAAGAGAGAAAGGGAGTGAGAGAGAGTACGAGCAAGTGTAAGTAGGCAGAGCAGCAGGCAGAGGGAGAAGAGAAGCCGGCTGCCTGTTGAACAAGGAGCCTGATGCCGGGCTCCATCCCAACACCCTGGGATCATGACCTGAACCAAAGGCAGACACCCAACTGACTGAGCCACCCAGGCACCCCAGTAAATAAAATCTTTTAAAAAATAAAATCTTTAAAGAAAAAAGGAAGTTAGTAATTTATGACAGGTGTTTTTTTCTTGGATTGTTGTGATGTCTTTTTGTGCCTTACAGAGATATAAAATATGCATGCATAAAATTTACTGGTGTTTTTCCTTTATGGCTTCTGGGTTTCCTGTCATGCTTAGAAAAGACTTCTTCAATCCATGATTTGAAAAAAATATGCTATTCCTCTAGTTACTTTCATGGTTTCATTAAAATAATCACAAAATATCTAATATACACAGAAGAATAAACATAAACTATATGTGGGTTACAAAGGAAAGTAATAAAATAAACTCCTAAACTCAACCTAACAAATAGCAGTTCAGTGGGTCTCACAGGATCCTATAAGAGATCCTATAAGTCTCCGCAATTTTTTAAAGAGATATTTTTGAGAGAGAGAAAAAGAGAGAGAGAGAGCTGGGAGATGGGAAGAGGAGAGGGAGATGAAGAGAGCAGACTCCCTGCTGAGTGTGAGGCCCAGTGCAGGGCTTGATCACATCACACCAAGACCATGACCTGAACTGAAATCAAGAGCTGGATGCTTAACCAACTGAGCCACCCAGGCACCCCACTGCCTTTTTTTTTTTTTTAAAGTGATCTCTACAGCCAACACGGGGCTTGAACTCATGACCCTGAGATCAAGAGTTGCATGCTCTACTAATTTTTTTTTTTTTTTTTTTGGTGCCAAAACCCGGGAACAAACCAGGGACCACATGCATGCTCTACTAATTGAGCCAGCCAGGGGCCCCCTCAGTGGTTTCATTTTTTACATTTAAAAAATGTCCATCTGGGGCGCCTGGGTGGCTCAGTGGGCTAAAGCCTCTGCCTTCGGCTCAGGTCATGATCCCAGGGTCCTGGGATCAAGCCCCGCATCAGGCTCTCTGCTCAATGGGGAGCCTGCTTAACCTCTCTCTCTCTGCCTGCCTCTCTGCCTGCTAATGATCTCTGTCTATCAAATAAATAAATAAAAATCTTTAAAAAAAATGTCCATCTGTAATTTGGGGGGAGTGAAGGGTTTAGGAATAAAGTAAATCTAGTTGAAGAATTTTTTTCTTAAAGATATATTTGAAAGAGAGAGAGAGAGAGAGAGAAAGCAGGTGGAGGGGCACAGGGAGAGGCAGAAAGGGAACATTTGTTTAGATATTATTTATTTATTTGAGAGAGAGAGAATAGGCAGGGGGAGCAGCAGAGGGAGAGGGAAAAGCCGGCTCCCCAGGGAGCAGGCAGCCCCCTGAGGGCTCGATCCTGGGACTCCAGGATTGTGACCTGAACTGAAGGCAGACCCCTAGCCAACCGAGCCACCCAGGCACCCCAGAGAAAGAGAATCTCAAGCAGGCTTCACGCCTGGGTCCAGTGCGGAGCTGGATCTTACAACCCTGAGATCACGACCTGAGCTGAAATCAAGTGTTGGACGCTTAACCAACTAAACCACCCAGGTGCCCCTAAGGAATTGTTTTTTCTGCATTTTTTCCCTATATAGTTATCTGGATGTTCCAATGTTATTTATTAAAGAATTCCTCTTTCTCCTGTTTCTTTTAGATAATGGTATTATGTCTCTGATGTGACCTCTGTATACAAAATGAAATCACTTCTACCTATAGTAGGACACATAAAATGACTAACAAAAGTCCTTGATATTTTCAAATTCAATAACCAAAGTAATCCCCATTTTCTAAAGCTTGCTGAAAAGAGAATAAGGGAATTCTTCCAAATTTCATAGTGGGGGAAATAAAAGACCCACTAGATATTCGATCTCATTCATCTTGATTAAGTCATTTAAATTCTCCAAGCCCCAGTTTCTTGACCTTTACGATGGAGATAATAATACACCTCATGGCTATTGTCAGGACTAAGCGGACAAAGGAATACAACATGGTTTGCATGGCACTAGGGACGTAGTAAGCTTTCCGTCAGTCAATGGTTTAATAGTTGTCTTTATTAAGATGTATTGTTATTACATTATCAGCCTCTCAGGAAGGCCATTCTCTCCAGCTTTATGGCTGGGCCACAGTTCTTGCATGGGCTTGTTGTAGTTAAAGAGATCTAGTTTGCTAATTTTATGGTGCAATACCATAATATTATGCTTTGTAGCAATGTGAAGTCTTGAGACTTCTAAATCAACATTTTATTTTGAAGTAGGCTCTACATCCAATGTGGGGCTTGAACTCAGGACCTGGAGATAGAGTCACATGCTCTTCCAACTGAGCCAGCTAGGCACCCCTTAATCTAGATCTTTTTTTTTTTTTTTTTTTTTAAGGAGGGAAGAGAGAAGGTGCAGAAGGAGAGGGAGAGAGGGAACCTTAAGCAGACTGCCTGCTGGATGCATAACCTGTTGTGGCGTTTTGTGGAGCTCGATCCTACAACCCTGAGATCATGACCTAAGCTGAAATCAAGAGTCAGATGCTCAACCAACTGAGTTGGCCAAGCACCCCAAATCTATATTTTTATAGATAAATGACAGTAATGGCAAGCCCTAATACTATGATAAATGTGGTTGACTGGTCTTGAGAGCCTCTCCCCTCCCTGCTTAATGTAGTGTTGAATCAGGCACCTTCTGAAAAACTGTTGTGCATTTGCCCACCGCAGGGCTGAACCTTTATTAGAAAGACTGCTCGCTCTTGTAAGTGTAGATTGTGATGGACACTGAAGCCTTGTAATACATGTAAGCCATCTAATACACTTTACTCCTTGTTATTTCCAAAACTGATGTTGAATAATTCCATCCATATCTAGGATATCCGGAGCCGTTTACTGAATTTATTATGTTGTAAAATTCAGTTCTCACATTATTAGATATATAATGAGGTATTAACTACGTTTCCCATTTCATAGCTGAAGGAGTTGCAGCAAGAGAGGGTTTTTCTTGCTGTAAGTTACTCAGAAAGGAAATGGCAAAGACCCATTTGTTTTTAGATCTCTTGGGTCACAGTCCAATGATATGTGCTAGTCCAAATTATTCTTAAAAGAAACTGCTGCATGTGGAAATTGTAATCTGAATAGATATTCCAAAGAGAAAATTATCACTTTATTTGAAATAGATGAGTGAATTATTTTGCGCTGTGTTCTATCCCTTAATTATTCTATTATATACAGATCTGAACTCCTTCAGGGAGAGTGTATGGTATGAGGACACCAATGAGCATTTACAGTATATTAACAAACCAACAATAGGTTGATGATTCGCCCTGGATTCATGCCAGGGTGTGTGAAAGAATTCAATAAACATGATATGCATTTCAAAAACTGCTAGTCATAATTAAAATTTCCAAACCCCTCATTCCTATAAATTATATTAAATAGAATATGAGCATTTGGCCTGCCCCTCACTCCCCTTACAGCACCGCAGACCCTGTGATTACCAGCCTTTTGGGAAGTGGGACAGAATACTAGGTTTCTCAAAGGAAAAAGGTGATATTTGGATTAAAAAAAAAAAAAAAGGTTTTATTTTTTCAAACTTACGGCATAGGGTTGTGCACACTGCTCTCTCCCTAACATTCCTTCTGCGACTGGGGTTCTAGTCCCTTCTTTATTCCTTGAGGAGACTTTCCAGGCTTTTCCTCTTTATTATATTCTTTTCAAAGAAGCAGCGCGACCTGCGAATTTCGTTTTTCTCTTTCTTAATTAATCTTCTGCCGTAGATTTATTTTGAAAACGTTCAATCCCATCAGAATTTCTTAAGAGTCCTTAAGCGAATCATCGGAATCCACTCCGTGTCCCCCCCCTTCCAGGAATATGAGTCCGCGTCTGAAGTGGCTGAAAACGCAAATTGTGACCCTGGTAATAGCAAGGGCAGCGGGACTCGGGCCGGTCGCGCCTGTGGGACCAGCCCGCAGCGCGCCGTGGCCGCGGCTCCGCACAAAGACGCGCTCAGGTGGTGGGGGGGGAGGGCCCAGCCCACCGCCGCCCGGAGCGCGCGCTCGAGCCCGACCCGCGGCGCCGGCATAGCCCGGCCTCTCCCCTCCTTCTCTCCTGCTCTTTTTATTAGGAAAAAAAAAAAAAAAAAAAAGGAGAGAGAGGAGGGGGGAGAGAAAACGAGAGAGCGCAAGAAGTCCCGCCCCTCCGCCCGCCCTCCGCCTGCCCTCCGCCTCTCGTTGGCCCGACCTCCGTGCGCGTCACGTCGGGACGCGCCAATGGAGAGGCGTGATACTGCGAGGTGGGCCGGGCCCGAGCGCGGAGTGGGCGGTGGGTCGGTGCAGCAGCCCCGCCGCGGCTCGGCCACCATCGCCGAGGCGCCGCTGCTCCCACAGACGTTCGCGAGCCGCCCCCCCGCGCTTCCAGCCTCCTCTTCCTCCCGCACGCCCGAGACACTCGCCCGCCTTGGGTCTCGCCCCCGCCTCCGCCTGCCCCGTGCTCTCCCCTCGCTCGCCTCCCATATTGTCTCTGCCTCATTTTCTCTCCTAGTTGAGGAAAAAAAAAATCACCATCATCCTCAGGGAGCCCCTCGCCCTCAGAAAAACAAAACCAGACATGATCCTGGGCTCCCGCTTCTGAAGGACTGGCCGAGCGAGGAGCAGGGAGCTAGTGGAGACCGTCCCAGAGGTCACGGGAGGGAAGCCCCCGCAGCCCCCGGCCCTGTCCCCGCGGCCGGCCACTTCTCGGCCCGAGCCCAGCGGTCCCCAGCCCCGCGGGCCTCCCACCCCGTCCCCCACTTTCCCGGGAGCCGGACGAACACACCTCCATTGATGGTGTAGCGCATTCGGGGAAGGTAAGTCTCCAACTTGCCGGCGCGTGGCAGCTGCCTTCTCTCCTGGCCGCTCGACTTAGGGACGGGCGTGGGGCGGCAGGGGGTCGGCTTGGACTCCTCGGTCCGTCGGGAGCCAGGAAGGGGAGGCGCGCGTCCGGGGGTACGGGAATAAAGGGCCGGGGACTTCTTCGGCCCTGCCGGGGCCAGGTAACTGTCCCATTCGCCTGCCGACCCCGGTTCTGCCTTTGCTGCTTATTCATGATCTTGTCGGACTTGTCTGAGGTTAAAACCTGTTTCATGTGACTAAATTACTGGCTGAACTGGGGGTTGGGGTGGGGGGAAGGAAAGGAAGTGAAAGACCCAGACTGTAAATTTCTTGACTGTTTGTGGATTTGGGGGTCTTGGGGGAGGGCTTTTCTTAAAGTAGTATTTTCACAGTAGGGAAAGAGTCCTTCTTTGTGTTCTAAATCTCCAGTTCTTTGCTGTGTGTGATTACTAAATTATGAAACCCCAAATCACTTGCAGCAGAATGGGATTACCATGTTTTGAGTTCTGCTCCCTGAAAGAAAGTGACTTCTATTTTTATTTTTTTTCAAGGTTTTGGAAAGAAGAGAGGTAGTTTTACATAGATATTTTGTGTGTGTGTGTGTGTGTGTGTGTGTGTGTGTTGGGAGGGGAAAGTATTGCAGGTTTCCTTTGAAACTGGTTGCTTGAGAAGTTGTTGAAAGGAAAACAAAATGATTCATTGTTGAATTGTCATTTTCCTCTGCCTCTTTTCCAAGGTTTGCTTACAATCTTTCTGGATTACAGACTTCAAACATTGATTTAAGCAAAATGTGTCCTTGAGAAACTGGGTACTTTAAATGTTTCAGTATGTGTTGCTATTTTAAGGGACATTTAGAAAGTAGTTTTGTATGAATCCTGAAATAGCTTTCCCCAAAGCAAATTTTTAAACACAAAAAAAGATAAATAGAAAAAGGGAAACTTGGTGAATTACAAAACAAACATTTTGGTGTAACATAAATTAATGCATCCTCTGTTTAGATATGGAACAGTTTTGATAATTGCTTTCCATTTAAAGAGAGACCTTTTTGTCTGATGTACACTGGTTTCTTTAGTCTCAGTCTGTTGGGGGAGGGGAGAGAGGATGGATCTATACAATAATAAAATGATCTTTGGGTAGCTATTTCCTTCCATTGGATTTGCTTGCTGAGTTAATTCCACTGTAAATTATAAACCAGTTTTGGTTTTGATGGCCTGGAGGAAAAGCTGGTTTCCAGCTCTCCCTGTTGTTGTTGAGGTCGAAGGGAAAAGAGGCAGAGGCAGGCAGGCAGACACACACACACACACACACACACACACTCACAATACCAGGCTGAGGGCTCATTGTTCTTCCATACACACATTCATTCTCTCTCTCCCATATTTGGGACTAGGTTTGCACAGACAAACACAGCTCTTTTTTGGAGAGAGGAGAGAAGATGGGGGAAGGGTGGACGCTTTTCTTTTTCAGCTTTCTTTCACCCATCTCATGTCTGGCTTTTTTTTTTTTTTTTTTTTTGCAATCTTATAAGAGGCAGAAGAGTATATCGGAAACTAAAGGACACTCAAAAACATGTTCAGAGACTCGACTCCTCCACCTCCCTTCTTTCCTCTGCAGCCTTAGTTTCTGCTGCTCTTTTTTTTGTGTATGTAAAGATGAAAACCCTTTCTATATGTCGTGACCTTATAGCCATCCTTCCTATTCCTCATTGCCCCTGACTTTGTTGGGGACAGTGACTTGTTCAGTTGGCTCTTATTGTAGTGAATGTGATCAGGGTCTTTTCTAGGTAAAAGTAGATTGTCTCAGTTAAGATGATAATGATCTTATTTGTGGTTAATATTTAGCAAAGAGTGTCTGTGTGTTTTGACATTTTAGTGGTCTGATGGTTGATAATCAGGTGTGCTGGCTATTGAGATGTCATTTTTTTGTTTTGTAAGTAGGGGTTATAAAGAAAGATCTCTTTTTCTCTTTCGGGGGCTGGTGTAGAGGCTTCCTTGACTATTGGACAGGGAATACGCTGATAGAATCCGCCTGGCTTAAACCCAGCTCTGGGCCAAGGATGGAGGTTGGTGTGAATACGGTGGGTTGCAAAATAGCACCTTCTACCGGTTAATTGCTTTGAGGGATCCTGATGAAGAGGATGGGGGAGGGGATTAACGGCTGAGGCCTAATGATTTTCTTTTGAACGCAGTTCTAGTGCCTTCCTGCAAATGCCACTTCCCTGAGCTGCTAATGCAGATGTCCTTTGACTGGCACGGATGCATTGAGGCTTTTTATGTTATTGGCTGTGTCTTGACATTAATTTGTTCTATTATCAGAAGTATTTACAAATACTGACTTCCAAAGACTCTTTTGAATTGATACTCTTTTATGAAAAACATAGTTTGTCTTAGAATACTAAACAAAATAAAGGGATTTGTGTTCTTGGTGTTAGATATTGTACGTACACTAGCAGTCTTTAAAAAGTTTTCAGTATCGTTAGTAAATAGTCAAATAGACTACCCAGTGGAAAAGAAAAATCCTAGCTCTGGACCCAGGCGTTTTCTTCTGGGATTTCTTGGGGATGGTGGGGAGGTGGGGGAGAGAGGAACTCACTAAAATCAGTATTTTTTTGGATGTAGTAGTGTTGTGTTGTAGTAGTGTTGTTTTCAATTGTCATATAAACAAATGAAATTAAGTCTGATAGGATGACTTATTCTCTGGGTTAGGTTAAAAAAAAAAAAAACAGAGGCAAGAGAAAATGTGAAATGAATGTGTACACAGATTAACACAGAAGGCCAAATTCCTGCCCAAAGACTTGTAATCCAAAGTGTAGTTTCAGAGATAATCTGTTTGATAAATGTCTAGAAGGTTTTTTATCACACATCCTACCCCATCTCTTGTTTTAGTGGAGTGGACTGTTGGGAGAGGTTTGCAGAGGCAAGGGGAACTCCGCATAGAAATCAACACCTGTTTCAGACTCTAAGGAATGTGATTTCTGATTCACTTTGCTTTCAGAACTTAAGAGTGTTACCCCGGAAGTTGTGTACCTTTTACAAATGAAATGTGAACAGTTCGAATGTATTATTTATTCAGTAGGAATAGAGGCTAGTAATTTCAATCCAGTATATGCTCTGCCAGTGTTTTGTTGCAAGGTAACTAGAGTAACTGAGAACGGGTTCACAACAAAAAGGTAATCCAAATCAAGAAATAAATGTACCAGTTACTTTTTCACCTTTGACTTGGTGGTCAGTCAAAAGGTTTCTAAAAAGTAGGGTAGAATCTCTGTAAGTCTTGAAACAATTATATGTATTGTGTACAAAAATACACCAGGTGCTATAAAAACACACACACAGAGGAATATGACCTGTGCCCTTCTACAACCAGTGTATGTTGAATATTATTATGGATTGAGTAAGCACCCATTAGTTTTAAAATTAGTTTTGAATCTTTAACATCTTGTTCAAATCCCAGTAATCAAAAAAACATTTAAGTAGTAAAATAAGTTGTATATACTGAGTTCTTCTGGGAATTCTGTGCTTTCCAAGTAACTGCGTTTGGCTGCTTCTTTTGCAGTTGATGTAAAGGTTAAGATAGCAGAAAATTCAGATGTTTAGAGTCATTAGTGTAACATAGTTGTGAACTTCATTTTACACATACAGACACCCTGAAACAATAGTTATTGTTTTACATAATCACTCTCTGATAATGCTGTGTTCCGGCTGATCATAGAGTCTTTAAACAACTAGAAATTCCTTTTGAAACATGCTTAAGTGATTGTTAATTATTAGTAGTATCTTCATAGTTATTCCAACTTTGTAGCTTTGCTTGTCCTGTTTAAGTGAACATTTATTTGTTAGAAAATGGTTAAGCTTGCTTAAGCCATTTTTTTTAAAGATTTTATTTATTTATTTGAGAGAGAGAGTCAGAGAGAGAGAGAGCATGAGAGGGGAGGTCAGAGGGAGAAGCAGACTCCCCATGGAGCTGGGAGCCCGATATGGGACTCGATCCCAGGACTCCCGGATCATGACCTGAGCTGAAGGCAGTTGCTTAACCAACTGAGCCACCCAGGTGCCCTGCTTAAGCCATTTTAATGAATATTTGATCACATTAACTCAGACAAGTTCAAATCCTAAATATATGTACGAGAATGAAGTTTTGGTTGGAATTGTGATTTGTATAATTAACTTGATGGTGTGCCAAGTAATATAATCTATGCCATGTGTCTGTATATTGGCTAACTAGGTCAGATTGGACTGCTAATACAAGAGGTTTTTGGTAAAGTGACCTGTTTGTGTCCGTGTAAAATTGTTTTCATTTGGTAAAATTTGCCAGTGTATCAGCAACCATAAGCAGTATGTTTACTTGTGAAATATTTCCTTATATAGTTAGGTTACAAAATGATATGACCTCTAATTCATTAGACCACTTAGTATTTGAGGAATCTTCACAGCCTATTTGTCTTGGGCTTTTGCATCAGAAGTTGAAGTTATAGGCCGTGCCCTAATTTAAAACCAGTTATACATATGATTTGTAAAGGTTTGGTTAGGCTTATTTGGTTGCAAGGAACAGAAAGGCTTCAAGTCATTTCACGCATTGGAGAAAAGAGGAACAGAACTGGAAACCTAGAGAATCAGGCCTCACAGAACAAGAACCTCAGGTTCTGATGGGCCTCACGGATGCTGGAGTACTGTTTGGGATAAGGATCCTGCCCAGCTCCAGTGACCAGATTACCTTGTTGCCTCCTCAGCAGGAAGGATTTGTTGAGTCATATCCTGGTGCCAGGGCTGTCCATGGTTGCGCAGGCTCTGTGTAGCATAAGGACACCACACCACTCTAAAGGGGATGGTATTGACATTGTGGGCCTGGAATAAGCTGAAAGAGAGCTTGTGAGCAAGTCTGGCGATGCCGGATCTCTAGACAGACTCTTAGAGCAGCAGGGCAGAGCCCCTCCTACAAAAACCCACACTAGCACATGTGGTCACACACATACTCAGCA